AATGTTGGTAACATTCAAACTCATACACTCACCTGCAGCGCTGCCAGCTGCTCAGACTCGCTAGTCTTTAGTCAGCTACTTCCATCTGCTGGATTTTTGGTTTCACAACAAGTCCAGTGCTGAGTTTCCCATGTCCATGTGTTAAAAAATGTGTTTACAGGGTTCCTAAACAACAAATCAATCTGAGAGTTTTCAGCTTTGTGAGCAGCTCCATTTAATTTAAGAAGGCAAGCAGTTGAGCAAATGAGGGGGAAATGGACTGAAAGCAAATAAGCTTTAGAAGACGAATAGGGTAAAAATGACTGTTAAATGACATTGTGGCTAGAAAGGTGATTGAAGCAGAGCAAAAGGAGGAAAAGAGAAGAGGAAGTGGATGGGGAAGAAGATGATGAAAAGGAAATGATGAATAAAGAGGAAAGAAGAGATGATATGTAATGCAAAAAATGAAAGAACTAGAGTAATACAAGGTTTGAGGAGGAGGCTGCTGAGGTACATAACTGATTTTTCTGGCTAGCAGACCATCATTTAGCTATGTTTACTAGGCCTGTTCTCAGCCTTTATTAAATTACATGGTTCTTAATGGAAACCATGTATGTGTCTGTCTACAGTTGTTATTTTATAAGCTTTTAGCTGCGTGCTAAACACGACTGATGTCATGACAATCAAATGGTTTTCACATTTGTTGATGGACAGCCACATGTCCTTGTAAAACCTCCATTCAAATCTCAGATCAGCACTTTCGATTAATAGAAACTGGTTAAAAAAATAGATTCCTAATTTTTATCCAGTTGTCGAGGACACGTGAGGAGACAAAGCAAATGAGTCGATAATAAATTCCTGATTCTTTTTAAGGCCTGTTAATGTGTTATAGTGTATGCTGTAATGCATACTGTGCTTTTGTCCTTCTGTATGGTCAGCATTTTTCTGAAAGTCACACTGGCCTATATCCAGAACTCACAAACCTTGCTCCATTTGCTGTTAATGTAACATCGCTGTAATCTGAACGCTCTATAAACAGCTGTCAATCACAGCTGATTTAAGGCTCCTTAGCTAGTTAGCAAATAAGTGGTTGCAGACAAAGGGAAGTATTGTCCTGATGTTTCGCTGTGGGAGTCTGGAGCAGACCACCAGCAGAAAGAGTAGCTTCACTTGTTCATTTCTGTTTTTGATGTTCTGCAAGAGCTTGGTTGAGCGGAGGCACGGTCAACTTTACCACCCCGCGATTTACCTCTCTTTCCCTCTCCGTCTCTCGTTCGCGCTCTCTCTCTCCTTCTCTCAGCTTTGCCAAACCACTGTCTCTATAGCTGTCTGTCTCCCCTCCAGCAAAAACCACTTAGCAGAGAATCTCAGACACACGCATTCACACATGAACACATACACTTTCCTCCCAGGGTCAAACATGGTGCAAAAGGTCACACTGTTAGTTCTTTGCAGACTTCTCTTCAATGGAAACATTTATTCTTCCAAAAAATATCAAAACTTTACCACAATGGTCCAAACTGGTTGAGTCCGGCTATTAAATTGTAAGAATCCGGTTTTGCCCCAAGGCTTGAGCTCATCAGAACAAACAAGCCCATGTGCTGCTAGAAAGTGCTGGGCCTCAACCCCCGTGTGAGGAAATCATGAAATAGAATAAACGCACATTATAATCCCTTCCACAGTAACACAGTATTGAGGATGTAATCAGTGTGTTTTACGTCTCAGGATAGCATTTCCACACAGATTTCCCTCATTTCTTTTTCATTTAAGTTGGTCGATTTGCAAACACAACAAAGAAAAAATTGTTTGGAGTCTGTTTTGTGTCTGGCATTTCCAATTTGCTCTAACACTTTTTCCCTCCTTAATTCTCCCGTCTGGTCTAGAAAGCAACGGTAATCTATCATAATCATGCACGTACTGAAATTATGTCCTTTTTTTTCTGTTTGTGCGTTTGTTACAGCGTCGAGTCTGTGAATGATGGGCTTTTCCACACAGTTGAGCTGCTTATTCAGAACCACTCACTGAGCCTCGTGGTGGATAACAGCACCAACAAGAGCCTGGGAAAGCTGGCACGCCAGCCCTCCGTCGACCACAACACCCAGCTTTACATAGGAGGTACGCACACACATTTTCTTCATAAACACGATGCATTTGCGGTGCGCAGATGTTACTTTTGCCTACCCTACTTTTTGTTTGCTATGCAGCGCACGGGTACATACGCGTATAGGGGCACACAACATGCAAACGCGCACGCAGACTAACGCACGCTAAATCACAGCAAGGCTTGTGGTAAGGAAGTGGAAAACTGTTTTTATTCAACTTTTCTTCAAGAAAGAGGGCAGACACGCCTCTGAGAACAGTAACTCCTTTTTTCTCGAGTAAGAGAGACACTGTTATTGTGCAACAGTGAGAGCTGCAACGCCGTATTCTTGTTGTGTTTCAGTGTAAGCCGAGCCAGAATGAAACCAACAAAGGAAATATGTTAATCAAACATTATACTACACTTTCCATTGTTATTACTGCTCATTTCTGTCTGTTTCTGGTTTTATTTTCACCAATTCCCAGGAGTGCCATCCCAGGTCGTGGCCTCAGGTCTGCGTCCAGGGCCTGAACGATCCCCTCAGGGTTTTAGTGGCTGCGTCCACAATGTCCAGATCAATGGGGAACCCCAAGACCTGAGTTATAGATCCAGAGGAGCAGGACAGCTACAACGAATTGAGGGCAAGGTAATTACACAACGGCCGGCTTAAATTCCACAGCATTTACTGGAACGCACAGTAGCATGTTAAAATTAAAGTATTATAAGTTCATTGAGTGCTGTTAAGAAACCTTGAAGGTTTTATTGAGAACTCTATGGCCTACATTGGTTTTGTAACTCATAATCCCGTAAGTCTGTCCCGTAAGTTCGCCTATCAACATATCATCAAAGAAAGTTATGTTTGGCAATAGTCGGAGGACATCTGGCTGAAATACCATGTAAAAAATCATAGTGAAAAAGCTTATGACAGCAGTGTTCTGTTTTGGGTTCAGAGCAAGGATCCAATCCAAGCAAGCGTTCACTTTCATAATATAAGCCTCTGTAGACGTCTGATGAGTTTTAAGGCACTTCGACAAAGTCAGAAGCTGCTATGGAAAAGTATACACGTTGTCTTTCCAATTTGGAAACATATTTAATCTGGACCCTTGAAGGGCTGCAGCATTAAGGCAACATCAAAACATTTCTCTGGTTGCTCCACCTACCTCCATGCTGTTTCTAACAGTGATTTCTTCATTTTATGTTCTGTCACTAGGGTGATGGCATTCTTGCGGGGTGTCATTCGTGCAGCGTTTGTGCACAGGGTGCATGTAGAGAAGGAGGAGAGACGGGAGTAACTTGCGATTGTCCTCCTGGACGC